GGCCAGAGCAGGCTCAGAGACTCTGCTCAAGTCCTAGTCTTGACCTTGTATCTAAAGTGTACACCGAAGTACAAACCTGTCATGCAGTGTTCTTGTCTTAGCATGAAGAGAATCGACCTCCCAGATGGAGCTGCCATTTCCAGCGCACCGGTGGCCCCACACTTCAATGGCCAATGCTCCATCTGAAATGAACTCCAGGAATTCTTCTGTTACATTCACCACATAGTCCTGGGATAAGTGGGGGAAAGCAGAAGAATTATGCTTAAAGGAGTCTGTGAAATTTCCTTTTGAACTTTGAACTGTTATATAGATTTATTTTAGAGTATATTAGCCTGATTTCAACCTTAAACCCATCTCTTCTGTTTTACAGAAAACCACAAGGAACCACAGAACATTAGATCTGGAAGGAAAATTGGGAGGTAATTTCATTCAACCCGTTTCTTATATAAATAAAGAAAATGAAGAAAGCAAATTGTCCAAAGTCACACTGTTTGCTAGTGGCCGAGCTGAATCCACATTCTCTCACACTTGGTTCATTCTCAGTTCCACAGGACCACTCTGAGTTTCAGCTGCCAGAGACTAACTCAATGAATTGTTTCCTGCCATGGCTTAGGAGAACAACAGAATTAAATTTTATATGGTTATCTTCATGACTCTATGCTCTCGCTCTTAAGATTTTCTGCCCTATTTCCTCTTTCGAAAACATAAACAGGCGGGGCACAGTGGCTCATGCCTATAATCCCAGCACTTTGGGAGGCCAAGGCAGGAGGATAGCTGGAGCCCGGGAGATAGTGACCAGCCTGGGCAACAAAATCAGATTCCGTCTCTACAAAGTAAAAATTAGCTGGGTGTGGTGGTGCATGCCTGTAGTCCCAGCTACTCAGGAGGCTGAGGCAGGACACTTGCTTGAGCCCAGGAGTTCAAGGCTTGCACTGAGCCATGATTGTGCCACTGCACTCCAGTCTGGGCAACAGTGACACATCGTCTTTAAAAACAAAAACAACCCCAAATAGATGATTGTGTGGAAGTGAATGAATATTGAACTGACTGAGATGGGTGGCAAATCACCCAGAAAAATGCAGCAGGCAACGAGCCAAGCTAATTTGCTTTCCATTAATCTCTCAGTGGAATCTCAGGTAGAGACATCTCTTATGACTCCAATTTGCAGAAACAGTTGTGTTATATTTATTTAACCACATACTATCTGCTTTTTAGTCTATTTTATTTGAAGATAGATCTAGAATTTAAGAAGAAAAAGAAACTTGGTGATCAAGTATAATCTATACATTTTAGAGATGAAAAAATTCTAAGATCACAAAAACCCAGAAGCTCTGGGACTAGCATTTATTAAAACAGCTGTCAACCAGGACACACTTGAAATCCAGATTTCGTCTTTCTAAACAAGAAGCTTTGTGGATTCAAAGAAAGATGGGGAGGCCAGGTGTGGTGGCTCATGCCTGTAATCCCAGCACTTTGGGAGTCTGAGGTAGGCTGATCAAGAGGTCAGGAGATGGAGACCATCCTGGCTAACATGGTGAAACCCGTCTCTACTAAAAATACAAAAATTAGCCAAGCATGGTGGTGTGCACCTGTAGTCCCAGCTACTTGGGAGGCTGAGGCAGGAGAATTGCTTGAAGTGGGGAGGTGGAGATTGCAGTGAGCCAACATTGGGTCACTGCACTCCAGCCTGGCAAAAAAAGTGAGACTCTGTCTCAAAACAAAGCAAAAACAAAAACAAACAAACAAACAAAAACAAAAAAAATAAGAAAGATAGATGGGGAATATTTAAAATAATATTCAGAGAACAACAAAATATGATTAATAAATATTTTTAGGAACAGACTTGGTGAATACAGATAAATATAGGCTATTTGTTTCCAGAAAAACTTGACAGACTTTACCTATGTGAAGTTTTATAGGTGGTGATACGAATTAGTTTTCTAAGTGTAGAACCGAAAGAATAAGCACGATTTGCAAAAGAAAGGGTCTTGAGTATCTATGAAGGGTTGCCTAAGGAAAAACAAAATTGCAGAAAGGATGGAGCTGGTCTTTCAGAAATGACTTGTCAGCAGACCCTTGCAAAAACTAGGAAGAGCATGTGATGTCTCAAAGGAGATCCAACCACATTCACCATCAATTCACCTTTCTCATTTTATATTTTCTCATATGATTTATAAGAAAATCTATATGAAACATATCCTATCACTCATATGATACATTAGAATGTAATGCTATATTCAGAAGAATGACATGCATAGCAACTTACATGTTAAGATGCACATGTTTTGAAATATGTTTAATGTGATCCCATTTTTATATAGCTTTTTTTTTTTTTTTTTTTTTTTTTTTTTTTTTTTTGAGATGGAGTCTCGCTCTGTCGCCAGGCTGGAGTGCAGTGGCATGATCTTGGCTCACTACAATCTCTGCCCCCTGGGTTCAAACTATTCTTCTGCCTCAACCTTCAGAGTAGCTGGAATTACACGCATGCGCCACCACACCCAGCTAATTTTTGTATTTTTAGTAGAGAAGGGGTTTCACTGTATTAGCTAGGATGGTTGTGATCTCTTGATCTTGTGATCCTCCCACCTCGGCCTCCCAAAGTGCTGGGATTACAGGCATGAACCACTGCATCTGGCCTTGTACAGCATTTTTAAAGAAGTTATGTGTGTATGATGTAAAAGGGTGTAGGTACACATGTTACCATACACATATAAAACACGTAGAGCAGAGAAAATACTTTAATGAAATATGTAGAAACCTTTCATTGGTGGTTTATATCTTTGGGGAACAAGACTGTTGGATTTGATTTTAAATATTTCTAAGCTGTTTGCATTTGTAATGAAGTACACTTTTGAGGTTAAAACATCTAATAAACATACTTAAAACAAATGCTTATGGGGACAATCGATTGCTGAACTGCACCCATTTCTTCTGCTTCCTACACAGCCCATTTGGTAATGGCATTTGTACCTTACAGTGGGAGAAGGTCACTGTGTACTGGGCGTCTTTGGACTGTGGTGAAGGCACCTCGGGGTCCACCACCGGGGCAGCCACTGTAGACTCACACTGGTCCCAGAATGTGTATTGACAGAAGACGAAATTTGAGAGGTTTAAGGGCAGCCCTGTTGCTTCTTTAATTTTTACCTGAAGAGATAAACAATACAAATAAAACTCCAATAAGCACTAAACATTCTTTTATTTCAGCTACCTCAAATTGAAGAGTAAGTGATGAAATAAATCAGTCATCCATTTGACATCTGATAATATTATATCTACCACCATATTGTTAAGGGTTGTATCTATAATGAAATCTTTATCACAGTTCTGTAACTACAGCATGTAAACTTGGCAACAAATACACATATCCCTGCAAAAGCTTCCTAACAACTGAGATGCAACCTTTACTAGAAAAACATAATTCACTAAGTAACACACACTTCTTGGATGCCAAATACATAGACACTTTTGAGATTTGATGCAGCTGTCATCAGAAAGTGTACTATATTTCTGAAATCAAAGTACTGTCCACCATTGTATATCCGCTGTTAGAAAATTCAACTTTTCCTGCGCTGGATGAAAAACACTCATAAGATTTTTTGTAAAATGGTTTTGCATGAAAAATATCATTTATATGAGCCTCCCATTGCTGTCCTCTCACCCGACATGTCAGTTTTTTGACTCGGTGAATGATCTCCCCGCTGCTGTCTACGACTTCAAGACTCCCACTTTCACTGGAATTCTCCGAAGAGTCATCCTCCACCACACGCTCTGGAACAGCTCCGGTAACACGCATGACTTCCACGTGGAGACGCCCTGCAACCTGGGTCAAGGAACCAGAGCACCTTAGAGTGAAAAGACATCTCGTGGGCAGCCTCGACCCCAGACAGATGGACCTTCTACAGTGGACGTGGAGAGGGGCTCTGCAGCTGCTCCTTGGTCATCTTTGGCAACGGGAGTCCTGCTACTCCCAGAGCCTGTCCATTCCACACTTGCCCCTGTGATCGGTCCTGCCTTACTTTCAGACAAATTTGCCTTCCTGCAACTTGCCTTCTAGAGTCATCCTCAATCTTATTCTCCCACAGGATAGCCCAGGAATAGCTTAAAGACAGCTCTCATATTCTATTTGGAGTAATCTATTATCCATGCTTTTTTTTTCCCGACAGAGTCTTGCTCTGTCACCCAGGCTGGAGTGCAGTGGCATGATCTCAGCTCACTGCAACCTCTGCCTCCCTGGGTTGAAGTGATTCTCCTATCTCAGCCTCCTGAGTAGCTGGGATTGCAGGCGTCTGCCACCAAGCCCAGCTAATTTTTGTTATTTTAGTAGAGATGGGGTTTTACCATACTGGCCAGGCTGGTTTTGAACTCCTGACCTTGTGATCTGCCCACCTTGGCCTCCCAAAATGCTGGGGTTACACGTGTGAGTCACCACACCCAGCTATCCATGTTTTTAAATGTATTCACTCACATATTTATTTGAGTGAATATGAAATGCTTCATTCACTTATTCATTTGACCAAAGAGCTAGTTCATGAAATACCAAAATAAAAACACAGGTTCTGCCATTAGGGAACTCAGTCAAGGGAGGTAAGACAGAGAAGTAAAGACTCACTATCAGGTCAGGCGTGGTGGCTCACGCCTGTAATCCTAGCACTTTGGGAGGCCAAGGCAGGCGGATCACCTGAGGTCAGGAGTTGGAGACCAGCATGGCCAACATGGTGAAACCCTGTCTCTACTTACAAAAAAAAAAAAAAAAAAAGCCAGGTGTGATGGCTCATGCTTGTAGTCCCAGCCACTTGGGAGGCTAAGGCACGAGAATTGCTTGAACCCAGGAGGCGGAGGTTGCAGTGAGCCAAGATTGCACCAGTGTACTCTAGACTGGGCAACAGAGTGAGACCTGATCTCAAAAAACAACAACAAAATAAACCTCACTAACAACAGCATAGACTAGTTGCTATAGTAGATGAATGTGCAAGTTGTTATTGGATAAGTTTATCCATTCAACAAATATTTACCAAGAACTAGCTGTGCCAGGAGCTGTGCTAAGTGCTTCGTATGCAACAGCAAACCAAACTGACAAGGTACCTGGGCTCCTGCAGCGTTTATTCTCCTGGGAGTAGGGAATGGGTGCGTCACTCAGACCGGGGCTGGGAGCAGGATGAAGAAGGGCTCCATAAAGCAGTGCCATTACATCGAATCCAAGAGGAACAGCATATCGAAAGCCACACAGTTATGTGGAGAGTTACTTTAAAGCTTTTTTATTAAAAGGTTTTAAATTTTCTATCATCGTGGCTCTCTGGATAGGAGCCAGTTTAACAGTGTTTCTCTTAACGCTGGCTACACAGAACCAAATTGGAGGAAAAGGATTATCCTGCAATTTACATTCTTGGAGTGCTTTAATTGTCTTAATTATCTTTCATAACACAGTTTCAGGTTGTAATGACTGTGGCTGTGAAGGTGACGCATGTTCTGGTAGTGCTGCTGTCATCCTAAACAGGGAAGGTTATTTTTAAAGGTAGATCAGATCCACCTTCCACACAGCAATTGGCACTGGAACTAAGGACCTAATAGAAATTACATGATGATAACTGAGAAGTAAGACAAATAAGGAAGAAGTAGTAAGATGGGGAAAAAAGGAAATGAAATCAGAAGATAGTTGTTCTTTTTTTTTTTTAATGCTTTTTGAGCCTCTAATTCATTTTAATATACTCTCAGGGGCATTAATGGAATACTCAAAGCATACCACAGACTCCAACTTAAGAAGCTCTAAACTAGGGACTCAGCCACTGAATCACTCTGCCACGTAAATTTTTTTTTTTTTTTTTTTTTTTTTTTGAGACAGGGTTGTGCTCTGTTGCCCAGGCTGGAGTGCAATGGTATGATCATGCCTCATGGCAGCTTAGACCTACCTGGGCTTTGGTGATCCTCCCACCTTAGCCTCCTGATTCTCCCACCTTAGCCTCCTGGGATTATAGGCGCTCATCACCATGCCTGGTTAATTTTTAAATTTCTTTTTTAGAGATGGAGACTCACAGTGTTAGCAGGCTGGCTCCTAACTGTGGTCATTTTTCCCATGGGAAAAAGCACTGCTAGGCGCCGATCCTCTGGAGGAGAATGTCTATGGGGTGTTTCCATAGTAGGTGGTGGGCTGTGCACTCACACCCCACAACTGGGAACCTGGGTCTATATTATGCAGCTTCACTTTGGGCAGAATGGCATCTTATTCTTTGACTGCTCTAAGAATCACAAGAAATAACTTGGTATTTCAAGCTACATTTTCTGAAATATCTTATGCCTACCTAGGCCACTATATCTAAATAGCTGAAATACCAGAGTTTACAAGGAGGGTAACACTGAGTCATTGAACCCTGTTTCCTCTGAGTACTTTGGATTGCAAAATAATCCTCCCAAGTTGCATCTTATAAAGATCATTTAGGGGCCAGGAGGGAACTAGAGTACATTGCAAAGGCATGAGATTATGGGGAACAGAGCTGAATCTAGTTTACAAAAAATTTCCAATTTGATTAAAACGAAGAAAAAACTTGTGAAGCCCCAATACTGAATGTGTTATAATAATCTTTTAAGACCACGACTTAATTCTCTACTAATATCGATTAGCTTTAGATAAAGCTTCTACTAATATCAATTATTATTAGAGAAAAAAGAATGCAGATCTTGACTATTTGCCCTAGTTTCTTGATCTACCTCAAGAACATAGCTTAAATAGAATGAAAAACAAAACAAAACAAAAAACTCAGACCACTGTCTCTCTCCAAGGCTGGCCTGTGCTTACCTCCCCCTGCTGGCTGATGATGGGGACTGCATACTGAAGTTTCACATCACAGAAGAGACATTCCAAGAACACGTTCGCCACCCCGATGAGGTTGTGATTCTCTTGGGCTTCATAGAAAGGGTCACCTCGTTTCCCATAGAGTCTCTTTGCCTGAGTAGTAGGAGGAGCCAGTGGGTAGATGAACAAGAAACACAATATCAATTTAAATCATATTATTTAAAACTAGCATTTGGAAAAAAAAAAAAAAAGAATTAAAGAATCTACCCATTTAAACAGCAAGTAAAATTAGAATGTCACATAAATAAAAACTAAATTAGTCGGGCATGGAGGCACATGCCTGTGGTCCCAGCTACTCAGGAGGCTGAGACACAAGAATTGCTTTGCTTGAACCCAGGAGATGGAGGTTTCAGTGAGCTGAGATCACACCCCTCCAGTCTGGGTGACAGAGCAAGACTCTGTCTCCATTAAAAAAAAAAAAAAAAAGAAGAAAAACTATTAGCCTGTGGGAGGGGCCTGTTTGTTGGAGAGCTAAGTGATGCCTGTGCGGAGGATTCCTCTTCAGTTCCTGCCTTGTCTTCCCTGTTCACCTCCTCTGCAGCTTTTTCATTTCATCTCCGTTGACAAGTCTTCTTTTCCACTGCTAATGTCCAAACAATGGATTATGCAAGCTAAAATTACTCTTAGTAATCTAGCCACGATGACAGCTAGGGGTGCATGAACACACATCAATGAATGCAAAATCCACACTGGCTCCAGCCAAGCTGATTTTTCACAGCACTGACAAAATGGCATACATTTACTTCATTCTACTTCTTTTTACTTGAAATGTAGTAAACATGAAGCCAAATAAGAATCACTATATGTTTTCTTCATTTAGTTCCCATCTGTGTGGGGATCACATGTTATATTACTGATCCAACTTAGTACTTCTTTCAAAATCACTTGTACTTTATTTTCCTAACATATCACCAGCACTTCTCTGTGTGTGTGATGCTTAAATCACTTATAGTCTCTTTTTATTTTTAAATCAAAAAAAATTTTTTTGAGACAGTCTCCCTCTGTCGCCCAGGCTGGAGTGCAATGGTGCTATCTCGGCTCACTGCAACCTTCACTGCCTCTCGGGTTCAAACGATTCTCCTGCCTCAGCCTCCCAAGTAGCTGGGATTACAGACTCCTGCCACCATGCCCAGCTAATTTTTGTATTTTTAGTAGAGACAGGGTTTCACTATATGCCTGTCTGGTCTCGAACTCCTGACCTCAGGTGATCCGCCCACCTCAGCTTCCCAAAGTTTTGGGATTACAGGCATGAGCCACCACTCTCAGCCCATATTCTCTGTTTTTAACATAACCAAATCTCCTTTACATTTTGTCTCTTTTACCTCGGGAACTTTTTCCTTCCATTCTTGGTAAAGATCTCTCATATCAATTAATTTATTTTCCAGCTTCTCAATGGTCCACACTTGGGTGCTCTTTCCTTTCCTCCTCACTTGGATAGCTGGCTCACTCACTATTGCACCTCTCTGCATAAGGAAGATAAACAAAACAAACATTGTTATAACTCCTTTTTCGATTGCTAAATGCTAATGCAATATATATGCAACAGTAACAGAGTAAGTTTGCAAAACACATAAAAGTATACAAAAGAAGATAAAATTCTACCACTTAGGAGATATTCTGGTTTATTTCCTATCTTCTATGTACACTCATGCACACTTTTTAATTTTTATCACAATCAGCACCAAACAAAAGTATAATTTCACACCCCAATCCTCTCACGAGTTTTGATACTGTGATCACTTTTCTTGTATTATTTAATATTCTTCATAAGCATGTCTTTTTTTTTTTTTTTTTTTTTTGAGGTAGGGTCTTGCTCTGTCCCCCAAGCTGGAGTATAGCAGCATGATCCTGGCTCACTGCAGCCTCAACTTCCTAGGCTCAAGCAATCCTCTCACCTCAGACTCCCAAGTAGCTGGAACTACAGTCATGTGACACCATGGCTGGCTATTATTTTTTTTTTTTTTGTATTTTTTGTATAAATGGGGTTTCGTCACGTTGCCCAGGCTGGTCTTGAATGCCTGTGCTCAAGCAATCCGCCCACCTTGGCCTGCCAAAGTGCTAGGACTACAGGCAAAAGCCACCAGACCCGGCCATAAGCATGACTTTTTAATGGCAACATAGCAGTATCCATAGCATATGGATTTACTACACATTTGACTAATTATTCTATTATTCAACATCTTGGCTATTTCATGTTTTTGCTATTATAAGGTCCACTAAGATAAGCATCCTTGTATATAAAGCTTTATGGGTACTTCTATGACTATGGGCTTAGAATAAATTTCTCAAAGGGGAACTACAAGATCAAAAGACTAAAACCCGGCAAGACTGATAAGATACTCCCTGACTCATTTTCTAGGCTGCTTGCTGAAAGGAAATGAATGGATGAAAAGTAACCTTCTTTCTTTTTTTAAATTTGGTTTTCTTTTTTTCTGAGTCACAGAAAAAAATTTTTCTGGCTGGGCATGGTGGCTTATGCCTGTAATCCCAGCACTTTGGGAGGCTGAGACAGGTAGACCACCTAAGGTCAGGAGTTCGAGAACAGCTTGGCCAACATGGTGAAATCCTGCCTCTACTAAAAATACAAAATTAGCCGGGAATGGTGGTGCATGCCTGTAATCCCAACTACTTGGGAGGCTGAGGCAGGAGAATCACTTAACCAGGGAGGCAGAGGTTGTGGTGAGCCAAGATCCTGCCATTGCACTCCAGCCTGGGCAGAAAGAGAATCTCTGTCTCAAACAAACAAACAAAAATGAAAAACAATTTTCTTCAAAGTTTTTCCCTACAGGAAAAATTCTTCGAAGTGAATGACAGGAAGTGAAATGACAGAAAGCTCCTAAATGCCTGCAGAGTTCTGGGTATTTGAAGCCAGGTATTATAAAAAGTCTTCCTTTCTTGTGGAATTCGCAATTAAAAAGGTACCATAGCTGGCCGCACACAGTGGCTCACGTCTGTAATCCTAGCACTTTGGGAGGCCAAGCAGGTGGATCACTTAAACCAGTGTGGCCTACACGGCAAAACCCTGTGTCTACTAAAAATACAAAAATTAGCCAGGTGTGGTGGCATGTGCCTGTAATCCCAGCGACAAGGGCGGTTGAGGTGGGAGAATCGTTTGAACCCGGGAGGCGGAGGATGCAGTAAGCTGAGATGTGCCATTGCACTCTAGCCTGGGTGACAGAGTGAGACTGGGTCTCAAAAA